ATGTGTGGGAACATCCTTTTTTGATCCATATATGGACAATCATGGGCGATGGCCTGTCTGTAGTATGAATTCTCTATCATGTATGAATTTATGAAACTTTTTCATAGCAAACATGATTGATAATGCTTTCTTTTCAAATTTGTTGTAGCTTTTTCAGCTGCAATTAATGATCTTGAGACATGACCTATTGGTTTAGTTGTTCCGTCCTCATATTAGTGTAGTATCACTGCTCCAATATCCGAATCCATTACATCTGATGCAACCACAATCTTTAATTTAGGGTCAAAACGATCGAGTGACAAATTCGACGTTAAGACTTTCTTGATCTCTTCAAAAGCACTTTGACATTTATCTGTCCAATTCCATTTAACATCTTTAGCAGGTTATTTAAGGGTGCTCTTAATTTGTGCATATTATATATATATATATATATATATATATATATATATGATAGTAATTAGTAAACCCTAACTTTGTTACATTTGTTGGAGCAGGCATGTCCTTTATTGCGTTCACCCTTGAAGAATCTAGTCGTCTACCGTTTTCATCAATAATTTGTCCTAGATATTTAAGTTTGGTTTCTATTGTTCGATAATACTTGCTCGAATAGTAATCCGTATAGTATTATAGAAAATAATAATAGTATAGAGAATAGGGATAAGTATAGTAATAGAGGATAGACTAGAAATGGTGTTGATTTATTGCAAAAATTTACAGTTTTGGCACAAGGCCGAAAAAGAGGAAATGGTTTGAGGCTGGTCTTCACTAACTATCTTATACCTAGCTAATCTGATTCACGACCCATTCACTCATTACAATTTGCACATTCACCACAAGAACTCATCCGTCACCAGTCAATCCTCCATATACCACAATACCGCAATACTCCAGGGGAACTACAAAACGCACACCGTGACATAAAAATTTATGATTATAAATAATTTATAATATAAAAATCTGATGAGTCACAATGAGAGGGGTGGGGATGAACCCCCAAAACAAACTAAATATCAAAACAAACCAAATAAAGATAATTGATGTTAGTAGGGCATCCTACTAACATCAATTATCTTTATTTGGTCCAACCCTTAAAAAGAGAGAGAGGCCGCAGTATTCTGCCATTAGACAAAATCAAGAGGCTCTTTCACTAAGGGATAGGGAAAAGAAAAAATAAATACGGCCGTGGGGAAAGAAGAAAGCTGACCCAGTTGAGATGAAAAAAGTGGGGTCAAAATAAACTGGGGAGGATGGAAATCACGACTATAATCATAGCCAAAGAAGCCAGTAGCCGGCCAGGAACAACACTTACTCACACTAACTCTATCCTAACCAGGAGAGGGCTCCACATGAAACCACTCCGATGTGACTTAGGTCGACCTAAAAAAAGAAAATTAAGACTAGCCCCGTTCACACGAACCAAGCTCGCCTCCGTCACCCACCTTTTGCTGAAGTCTGTCGAAACCGTTTTCTATCAGTTCTAATCTTCATCTTGAGCTGGTGCTCAAAGAATCGGATCAGATCATGATGAGAAAGACGATTGCTTTATAAGACATCCTCCTGTCGCGTCGTCCAAATCACTATTCTGGCCGTGGCTAGCAGCGATAGAAACACCATTCGTTTCACCCCAGAATACGGAGGCGACATATTATCACACGTGTATGCATGATCAATGAGCACGAGCTTTTCAAGAGCGATACGTGCAGTCAACTCGCCGGTCCGATAGGGGGGCGGACCCAAGGACAATGGTAGAAGACGTGCGAAGCCGTTCCCTCTAAGCCAAGGTCACATTGTGAACAGTCTGGCAATTCCGACACCACCTCATATGAAGGTCTTGTCATTGAGAGATAGCCTATACCGAACCAATCGCCAGGCAAGCGAAAACTTAGGGTTGCTGAAGCAATCTGTCGCTGGCGCAAAGACCAGAAGGAGCGAAACTCCTTCTCTGACAAGTCGAACTTTTGATATCAAAATAAAGGCGAAAGGGAAAGACATCAAAAGAAAGACGAAAGGGAAAGATATAAAAATAAAGGCGAAAGAGAAAGGCATCAAAAGAAAGTCGAAAGGGAAAGATATCAAAATAAAGGCGAAAGGGAAAGACATCAAAAGAAAGGCGAAAGGGAAAGATATCAAAATAAAGGCGAAAGGGAAAGACATCAAAAGAAAGGCGAAAGGGAAAGATATCAAAATAAAGGCGAAAGGGAAAGACATCAAAATAAAGGCGAAAGGGAAAGACATCAAAAGAAAGGCGAAAGGGAAAGATATCAAAATAAAGGTGAAAGGGAAAGACATCAAAAGAAAGGCGAAAGGGAAAGATATCAAAATAAAGGCGAAAGGGAAAGGCATCAAAATTATGGTGAAAGGGAAAGACATCAAACGAAAGACAATATTGTTGCTTTGAGTTTTAGTTATATTTTACTCCTTTTTCACTGATGGTATCTTCTTTTTTCTTTTAGAGCTTTACGTACGTTGCTACATATCATAATATTAATATATAGATTTTATTGACATTAGGTCAGTAGTGCAGATAGGAAACATAGAATAATCTACCAGAAGAATAAAATCGTTTTGTTTTTAATCACGTTAACAAAATGTGGTTTTATATCTTACGTCGGAATTTCGTTTGCTTTAGTCTAATTCTTTCTTTTCAGTGTAGACTGATAAATTTGAAATTTCAAGTGCAGCATCATGGCAACTATCGCAAAACTACGAATCATCTTGGAAGACAAAGACATCTAACTGATATCAAATAACAAAACTACTGCGCGCATTGACCTTCTGGATCTTTCTGTACTGTCATAGCGAAGAATACGTACATTAGAAATTAGATGCTACAGAACAATCCTATGCATCTTCAACGTAGACCGCATCACAAATGTCGCTGTGGGAGACACCATCAGACAAAACACAGACCACTTGGAAGACAAAAAGAGAATGTTGAAATGGTATGGATATAGTCATAAGAGCCAACAATCATTTCATTTCTATCTGACGAGGTACTACCTTAAGTAAAAGAAGAGGCTCACAAAAGAAAAAAAAATGGGCTGATATTGTCACTGCGTGAAGTATAAGATCATCCACACGGGTTCAGGCACTGGCATGCAAATATGACTTCAGAGAGAGAGAGAGAGAGAGAGAGAGAGAGAGTTAGGTGCTCAGATGCGCACTGGCACTACGACCACACCCTGCAATGGGACAGATGATGATGATGATGATGGTAGCTAATGATTTCTGTGGCATTTTGCATTTAGTCTGTTCATGTGAAAGGAAAACCAAGATTGTCTAGTATATAAACAAGCCATGTACGTTTTATACAAACAACGATCTCTTTGAAACTTTTACAATCTAAATCAACATAGACTTTTTTTTTTTAAATTTCCGTTTGTATAGATATCGGGTGACGCATTCATATAGGCTATTATCATTCATATTAAATGCATAAATATCTAAAGAAACAACTGCGAAATACTATCCAAAGATTAATAAACATCCCTACGCATTTCTGTAAATAATTTTAAATAATTTTCTTTTTTTCGCTTTTAACTGTGAATAGAATTACAGTATTTAAGTATATTTATTTAATAGATGCAAAGACGTTGCCTGACATTTGAAAAAAAAACGGTAGTTGTTGGCTACTTACGTCTTTATACGATAGGGAGTGTACCTTTGAAATAAATAGGTGATGTTTAACAACGAGCAGATTTGATACGAGAATACAATAAAGAATAGCTGAATGAGTACCATATGAATTACATTTGATCCATTATCATGTTCCTGTGTTTTTGAAGTGCGGATATAGCAGTTATCTAAAGACAGAACTAAATATTCAAATAATATTTTAGAATTTACTGACCTCAATAAAATCTGTTTTTTTCTTAATCCTCAGACAGTGGGCATTATCAGTTGATGTTTCATTGGTGATCAGCGGATATCATGAAATAATAATTTAAACACTTCCAATGATACGTGCAGAATTAATTCAAGATTCGTGTAGAGATGACTAGATTAGCAGCTCTAGAATTCATGAGGTTACGTCGTTTTTATCATGTCTGCCTGTAAATAAATCTAGAAGAAAAAGTCAAAGACAATGCTATGTTTTCATATATATATATATATATATATATATATATATATACTTCCCGAAGCGAAAAGAGATGAAACATGGTGAATACTTGCTTCAAAGAACACACAATGGAGTTCTACATAGAATGTTTTAAGTTGTATCATGCTGTTAAAATAAGTCAAATTTAGGAATGTAAAATTGGTTTGTTTCCGTTATTTTCTTTATTCTAATAATATAAATAGTTAAAATATAATTTCTATAGTTATTTGTACATAACTAAAACGAAATTAAGCACAAAAACTATTCTTAATAAATGAATTTCCTATTGTTTAACCGTTTGGCGCGCATGCGCGTGTAATATTTTCCCGCTTTTTAAGAGTTAGAAAACAATTATTGAGAAAACAACTTATTATATATTAGATATGCAAATTTAAAATTGTTGGCTTAGAGTGATTTTCTAAGCACAGCTTAGATGTGGAACAAGACCGAAAGTATGGGGCACTCAGTGAGTATCGAACTCACTACTCAGTCGTTAATTGTTCTAGCGAGACAAGCTTGCTAACCATTAAACCGACTTGAGGTGCCCTAAAAATTGTTTGCTTATATTCTAAATTCGATTTTCTTTGTATCAATGACATTTTTAATTTCATTTAAATAATTGTTTGTTTGTTTTTTCTGCGGCTTATAAACACTTTGCATGTTATTTAAAGTCAGAAACTATTTTTAGATTGTAAATTTTTTATGATCATAATGATTTAGTGATAAAAGTCTTACTAATTAAACCATATCTGGGGCTAGAAGAAATGGATTCATGCGTTTCCCAAGGGTATTTGTGCGTAAGTGAATATAACGAACAGAAACGGGAATTGTAATTCCGCTTTCCGATTAAAAATTCTGAGTCATTATTTATTACACTTATTACACCACCCGAACACCCAAGCTTACAGTATCTGGTATTCCCAAGCGATCACCCATTTAGGTACTGACCAGGCTCGACGTTGCGTAACTTCCTTGATCATACGGGAACCAATGTTTTAACGGGATGTGGCCGTAAGCCCACATAGTGTAATGAATATTAGCGTTGAAAGTGGAGGCGTCGAATCGAGTTTAAATCCCTACCGAGTCTGTTCAGTTCACTTTCGATCACTTTAATGTTGGGAAAGGTAAGAATCCCTATCTCTCTCCAAGCTATGGGTTAAATAGCAGTGTGGACTAGATATATTTTTAGCTTTGCGTGGCAGTTAATCTAAGAAAAATAAAAATCTGAATTCCAGACAGCGGTTTGGTTAATTGATGCATTTTCTCCGAAATTTCAAACATTCACAGGTTATTTAAAGCCAAGAAATATTTTTAGATTGTAAATTATTTTTTTTTTTAGATAATAATGATTTAGGGATAAAAGACTTACTAATTAACCCATAGCTGGGTGAGAAGAGGGGAATTCATGTGTTTCCCCAAGGGTATTTGCGCGTAAGTCAATATAACGAACCCAACTCGAACTGGAAGTCGGCTCTCCGATTAACAATTCCGAACCATTATCCATTACATTCTCCACACATCCAAACTTACAGCACCCGGTATTCCCAACCGGTCACCCATCTAGGTAATGACCAAGCTCGACGTTGCTTAACAGGTGTTTCAACGAGATATGACAGTAAGTCTGTTAAGTAACTAAGAAAAAACTTTTTTATACTTAATATGTGTGTTTAAGTCGGTTTATTGGGAAAAATGTTATCAATCTTTTGACTATTTTATAAATCAAACATCAAGAATTTAACTTTTTAATTCGAACCTTTGTTATACAGGGACAGGTTATCAGGTCTTCTGGATGTTGCCATTATTCTTTCAAACAGACTGGTTCAAACTAATATGCGCATATTAATTTTTATCACTATAGGTTACCATAGAGCTAAAAGGAATTTTTTCGCCTGACTATAAATTCCTTTTAATAAATACAGTAAAATATCAACACGTTCGTTTGTATTGAGTACCTCAAGTAATTTTAGTCATGCTGAAAATATTTGTTTTTTTTTCTGTTTATTTCTTAAATATAAATTTCATGTGATAAAATAGTTTTCTTAAAAGATTCATATACAATTAAAAACGAAATTCGTTTTTCTGTCTTTTTTTTTTAGTATAGATTAATAGAATATATCGTATTCTAGTTGGTTTACATATTTTGATAATTTTGTAAAATTTTTGAATGCGCAGGCTGTTAGACGTAATACACACTGTTTAAAAAAATGAGGCGTCTGTTTAAATACGAATGTTCACAACATAAACGTTTGATGTAATAAAAATGTAAGATTAAAAATAAATCGATTAATTACTTCTTTAGAAATTGATTTGTTTACATTTCAGATACGAAACTGAGCAGATATGGAGAAAATATCGGAATGAGGGGGAAAAGGTGCTCACTATTGAGAGATTGTTTGTAGATAAACAATGGGGGAGCTGAACTCAACATTGCATAGTGAATGGTTGTTTCACGTCTACAGCGATCACCAGAATATTATCTGATAATTGTTTCACCCTTGCAATGTTAAGTTCTATACATGCACTTTTTTTTTTATATATATGGCAATTATATATATATATATATATATATATATATATATATATATATATATATATATATATGACAATATATATATATATATATATATATATATATATATATATGACAATTATATATATATATATATATATATATATATATATGACAATTATATATATATATATATATATATATGACAATTATATATATATATATATAATATATATATGATAATTTATATATATATATATATAATATATATATATGACAATTATATATATATATATATATATATATATATATATGACAATTATATATATATATATATATATATATATATATGATAATATATATATATATATATATATATATATATGACAACTATATATATATATATATATATATATGCATCCAGGTAAAATGACAACAAATGGAGCATAATTCCACTCTATGTAACATTTAATTTAAAAGATGGCTCAATACAGAGTAGAGCTAAATATTATTTATTTTAGGATATTAAAACGTTAAAACTCGCCACATAATGGCAATTATGTTTCAAACCTACGAATGTATCTCCTCGGATGATGTTAAGCTACTGGTGAGTTTGTAGTTTGGAGTCTGCCAGCCTCGCCAGTAGTTTAACATCGCTCAAAGAGACACATTTGTAGTGATAAAACATAATTGCCATTATCTAGCGATTTTTAACGTTTTAATATCCTAAAATAAATAATATATATATGTGTGTGTGTGTGGTGTGTTTTTTTTTCAGTTTCATATCTATACGAAGACTATTGTGTTCATAGCTGTCTGTGGTTAGGTGAGGGAAATGTATTTCAGGTGTCTTTTTTGTTAAACATCGTGGTAAATCCTTTTTTTTTCTTTTTTTTTTTTTGTCAATGCCTTCTTGTTAAATAGAACGCTAGAAAATCGAATATACATTTAAAAATAAATATATAATTGTGGACACTCCTGTCATTCTGTAAAAATGTATCAATCTTCATTGCACCAAGAAAAAAATAAGTGACAAGTAGAAAAAAGTCTGTGCGTCCCACTCACATCAAATGAATGAGACGTCAGATCAACAGAAAAAAAAACTGTGTAAAAGACGCTGTCACCAAAACAAATCGGTCTTTTAACAAACTAAACATAAGCTTACTGACAACTAAACAACTTCATTGATTATAGAAACTACCGGGCAATGTTGGTAGCTGCTGGGGATAAAATGCATGTTTATTAATGTTGCCTCTTTATTCTTTAGGAAACGTTGGATTTTACAAGCAACAGACATGTATACAGGAATAGGACATCTGAGAAAGTATTAACGAATAGGACTAACAACAAACTAGACTTACGTTCAAATCACCGGTTCTTATTTGATCACCGAAGTTAAGCATTGTCGTGCCCGGTCAGTATTTACATAGAGGACCGCTTGAGAAGACTCGGTACTGTAAGCGAAAACCAGGTATAAAACCGGTTGGACATGGGGCATTCAACTTCACATCAAATGACCATACTTGCTAATGAAACCACAGCAGCAACGCCTCGTGTTGTTGAGAGCTGTGGCCTCATACTCTTCACTAGAGTCTAGTGGCCTAAAGGACGGGAAGGAGTAGATGGAGGAAGAACTGAACTTCAAAGTCGGTGTAAATACGCAATAAAGCATCATATTGTTATTCTGCCTGCTCCTTAGTTAGCGTGTGCGTTACGACCTGCCAATGCCTCATAAAAAAAAAAAACGGCCTATTCTGTTTTGATTTCAAAGACGGACAAAACATACCAGCGACACTGTTTGGTTTCAGCGAGAAAAAGAAAGTGAAGAGAAGATAGAAATGGCGTCAGCTTCTGTGAAATGGAAAAAAAAACTTGTTAATTTCAAAACTATTCATTTGTACCCTGTTACTTCTTTAAATAATGACTTGCATTCATACTTAGCAATATTTTGCTAAAGTTACTAAGCTCAAATATGATTTAACCCTGATAAGCGGTATTAGACGGAATTCTGAAGTCGGTCAACAGATTTTGCTTGAATTATTAATTAATTGACTTTCTATTTATCTATCTATCTATCTATCTATCTATCTATCTATCTATCTATCTATCTCTCTCTCTCTCTCTCTCTCTCTATATATATATATATATATATATATATATATACACACACACACACTTGGTGCGATGGGTAAATTGTCGCCATTTTATATTTCCAATTTCGCGCAAACGCGTTGTTTTTTTTATTTTGTCAACTGCACAGTATAGTAGAGTCAACTGTGCACCGTCTGTAAGAAAAATCGCACCATTATGCAATTAATTCCACCAGAAATTTGGAAATGGTATGTTATACTGTACTCTGTCAATATCCAGTTCTTATACTTTTTTGCCTATCACAGATTTTTTACTGCTTATTCGCCTTCCGAAACAAGGGTTTCTTGATGGTATGCACTAATCTGAGCTCCGCTGATCTAAGTCGATTTTTTCACTGGTGGCTGTTTAGAGGAATTAAGTTCAACTGTCAACTCTGGGACAGTTTGCTATTCTGTTTCTTTTGCTCTCAATAAAGTATTTACCTTCAGCAGCAGTTATGGTGCTCGAGCGCTTTTTCTGTCAACATTTGTATCAGTTTATAATTCCCATTCTAACTAAGCTTGCATCCCATGTCTAGTAGCTTGTCTTTGAGAGTAGGTTTTCTTTAATAAAATCTCAATTTGTTCCCTCACCTCAATTCTTAGCTGCTTTGGTTTTGAGATTTTGTAGAAAATACATAAAAATAAATGGTAAACGTTTTGTTTTTTCTTCAGAAACAGCTACATACGTTTTGTTTACAACATTAGTCACTGCCGAGTTAACATTTGGAACCTTTATTAACATTTTACTTAATTGAAAATGTTGGTAATGCCAAAAAATCTACTGAAGGGTTAATGTTGAAAGCTAAATATGTTAGTCATACAAAATATCCGTAATTTAGCAAAATGCATGGTGGACAAACAAATCAAAATTTGAACTTTCTTATAGCAAGATGAGTCCGAAGAAAGACTGAAAAATAAAAGCAAACACACTGAAGTTATTGAGATTTTATCTCTTAATTTATAAAAGATATATATATATATATATATATATATATATATATATATATATATATATATATATATATATATATAGTTAGTAGATAATAAAATCACAAATTACCTCATATAGGGGATAGGCCTATTTCAACCTTGAAAAATTTCTCCGTCTTATTCAACCGCAGCATAGACTGACCGGAATAGAATAAGACGGACAAATTTTTCGTCTGTTGAAATAGGCCTATTCCTCATATGAGGTAATTTGGGATTTTATTGTCTACTAATTATTTGCTCTGTAATAATAAATACATTGAGCTCTTTTTGTGGATCAGTTTCAATATTTTATATTACTAGGATCCACTTGGATTATATACCTACGTATTTATTACCTTTACTTTATATATATATATATATATATATATATATACATAGAGAGAGATAGATAGATAGATAGATAGATAGATAGATAGATAGATAGATAGATAGATAGATAGATATAGTATAGTTGTTTTAACGTTTGAATTAATAAATATGTTGAATTTAAAATAAATCAATTAATTCTACATATAGTTTCGTATTTGGGCAGTAATTCCTCTTTAATACATGTTTCGTAAACAAGGCTGACAAGTCTGGAAAATAAGAATATGTACAATTCACGAACTTTTATACTATCCACCATCGCACTTAAACACCATTTATCATAGTAGTATAACAAACGTATCCCTAAAATGACTAATAGATTAGCCAAAAGCGCCCAGAATCAACGAACTTTTTGAAAATTTTATAGACATTTATACGTTTACAAGAAATACAGGATAAAACTAAACAAAAGTGCCTTATCAATCTTGTTCAACAGAACGTATGTGTGCATGTGTGTGTGTGCGTGTGTACGAAGAGAGATTTTCAGTTCAATAAATTTGCATATACTTTTACAGATGGGCCGTTTTTAATGTTAAGTTCCTAAGAAAAATACCCGATAGGATTGCAGACATTAGGTTATACGCATACTGTGTTTTTAAAATCCAACAGAAAAGTACAGATCAAGAAAAGGATTAAAAATATTTTTCTTACTTTCTCTCTCTGTTGCAAATGTAAGCGGTATCCTGACCAATGTATTATGTTAGTTGCCAACGTTTCAGTCCTTAAGCGATCATTAGGCCATGTGTTACTCAACGTTTTGTGAACATGTAACACTGTGAAATGAAGAACTCTTCTTCCCCATTGTTTTTGTTTAGGAAATTTTTTTTAGATTACTTATACTACTGACCTTGAGTTTTTTATTAAATTTAATTTATTGACTTTTTGTGTCTTTTATATTTTTTTTATTTATATTAGTCCGTTAAGTGACATGCGTGATACACGCTTGGACGATCATGTCTATTTTGATTCATGACTGACTAGGCATATTCTCTCGCAGTAGGTTGCTGTTTCTTTCTGCGGTAGACTGGCTGCAAACTAAGATTATAGGACCCAGTCATCCCTGTTGTTCAACTCATACCTGGGGAAAAGCGATGGATTTATAATGTTCAAAGCGTATAAGTGAATGTAACGCAGTCGGCTGGTATTCGAACTCGTCTCTCCGTTTTCTCATTCCGAACTGTTATCCATTACACCACAACGTACATTTGAATTATATTTAGTGTCCACACAAAGAGGAATATCATATGTAGTGTTGATTTCTATATCACAATGTTTATATGTACAAATCCTCTATCCTTGATAGTGAGAACTCTTCCCCATAAGTATAACTAACTCGGTCATCCTGGATATTATCATTCACAAATGTGTTTCCAGTTTCGAAATAATTATATTAAGTTAATTAATTTTTTATATATATATATATATATATATATATGTGTGTGTGTGTGTGTGTGTGTGTGTGTGTGTGTGTGTGTGTGACACTATGCAATGCGGGTAAATGAAAAGTGTTAATTTAAAATATGAACTGGAACAGACGGAGAGGATTAAAAGTACGGAATAATATATAAACTGAAAAGAACGAAATGGTTTTCTATCTAAAATCTAGCTTGAAATAAAGACAGACATGAATAGAGTGAGTTTATTGGTTTTGGGAAAGATATTATCAGAGGCCATGTGGAAGTCTTTAACCCACGAGGTCCGAAAAAAAGAATAGTGAAAGTACATTCGAGGTTAGTCGAGAATTTTGGAAAGGAAAGCAAAAATGGAGAAATTGATTTATATACGCTTAATTAAAGTAGAAAATACGAAAACATGTCTCGTGATTGCTGGACGGAAGAAGGGGTAAATTAAGTTATAATGTTTGGTAATTCTGAAGACAAATGCAGAATCCAGAAACTGTTATATACCTCCCCGTCAAAGAGCGAAAATAGCTTCGCCAATTTTGGAAATGTAAACAAATCGAAAAATAGAATTTTATCTTCCGCTCGGAGAAAACGAAATACGAAACAAAATACGAAACAGACCTGTAAGCTTCATGAGTAGGATTAAGTAGGATTAAGTAGGATTAAGTGATATAGACAAGATTAGGAACTGAGAATTACAATTAATGATTAAAAGTAAGAACCTTCCTTTCCCTTACTCTTTTTAAAAATCAAATTTGTCAAAGAGACAGTAAAAGCGGCGTGCTTAGGTAAAATATTAAAAAAGTAAGAGGAAGAAGGAGAAATTCCCTCCGCTCATTTGGAAGTAATGAAGCGAAGGAAAAAAATAAGAGAAGAAATGAGTTATAACGGAGGTTGAATACCTCTAACCACCACAAGTAGGGAGAATGGTTCTCCCAAATTTGGAATGATAATTAATATTGCGAACGGGATAACAAAAAAAATCATATTCAAATCGATACAGAAACCTAGGGAACCACGACATCCCGAAATACCGTGAGCCGTAAGCCCCATCTCAGTTTTGGGTCGAAGTCAATATAAGGCGACCCAGTGAGAGACGAGAGACAGGAGGCGAAGAGCAGACGAAGGTGCTTCTGAAATCCACGTGACTTGCTGCCAAGAGAACACCCGACTTTGAGCCCTGTTGCAAGAATTAGCACCAATAGGCAAAGTGTGACTATAGAGATTTTAGTGGGAACAGTTAATGTTGTTATACAAAAAACTACATAAGCCAAATTGAAAATTGATCCATTTTTATTTCGTCTGCTAGAACATTTCTTTTTTTTTCCCCCTTTCATAACACAGCTTCGCCGTGGTTCGAACCAGTGATAGGATTGCTAATGATACTCGATCTCCACTGTTCTGTGATCAAGAAACAATGTAGGCGGAGTAAAGTGCGGTCAGCGACCAACAGCGACAGCATCGACTAGCGTGAGATTGACTCTGCAATCAACTCGTCGTTCTACGACCCTGAGGACCATGTCATCTGGTATAGGCGGCGTGTGACAAAGGTCATATCCTCTGGTCACTG